CTAGGTCATCCCCAACTCAGAACTTTTGTTTTTATTTAGATTTTTACCTTGAAACAGGGTTTCTCTGTGTAGCCTGGCTGTCTTGGAACTCACTTGGTAGAGGAGGCTGTTCTCAAACTCAGAGATCCGTCTGCCTCTGCCTCCAAAGAGGCGAGATTAAAGGTGTGCACCACCGCTGCCTGGCTTTGAAAGCTTTGGAAGCACAGGTGCTTGTACGTATGTATTTGGCACCATGTGTGTACCTGGTGCCTGTGGAGCTCAGAAGGCAGCATCCAACCTCCTGGAACTGGGGTTATAGATGGTTGTGAGCCACCCTGTGATGCAGGGATGGAAACCAGGGCCTCTGGAAGGGCAGTTAGTGCCCTCAACTGCTGAGTCATCTCTCCAGCCCTGCATTTTTAACGATGTGTGTGCCTGCAGGCGTGTGCGTGCGCCAGTATGTGTCTACATGTGTCTATGTGAATCTCCTATGTGGCGGTCCCAGCGGGAGTCAGAAGAGGGCATGGGAGCCCCTAAGCTGCGGCTAGCGGGCCAGGGTGAGCACTGAAAACAGAACCTGGTCCTTTGCAAGAGCAATGAGCTGTCTGGCTCTCTCCAGCCAAGACTACTCCCCAAAGGCAAGAGCATTACATGTGACAAGATTTGGCAAAGGTCTGTGGAAATGAGTAGTGTGTCAATAGTCACTCTCCCACCTTGGCGGGAGGACCTTGAGTAAAACAGTGGTCTTGTCTCTGGACAAATGCCGAAACAGGGAAGAATTGGAGGAGAAACGCATGTGGCCAGAACGGAGAACACGGTGCATTCTGTCTCATTCTGCAGTGTTGGGGATTGAACCCAGAGCCTTGCCCATGCTGGACGCCCTCAACCATGAAGCCACAGCCCAGCCTATATGTAGTTTTTGCTTCAGGACTTACAGACAGCTGTCTGCTATCTAAACCCTACCTTCCCAACCCTACCTTCCCCACGAACAACATCTAACGAGCGCACACACACTCCAACATAGATCTGTTAGTCCTACACTGGCTTCACTTGCCTTTCTCCTGTGTGATCACCGTTCTTTTTCTTTTAAAGATTTATTTTATTTCTTTATTACATATACAGTGTTCTGCCTGCACTAGATCTCACTATAGGTGGTGTGAGCCACCATGTGGTTGACTGGGAATTGAACTCAGGACCTTTGGAAGAGCAGCCAGTGCTCCTAACCTCTGAGCCATCTCTCCAGCCCCGTGATCACTATTCTTGTCAAATTGACTACATCTGGAATTAACTGGAACTTAAGCGCTGGGTACACCTGTGAGGAACTTTTCTTTTTCTTTTGGTTTTTCTAGACAGGGTTTCTCCATGCAGCCCTGGCTATCGTGGACTCAGTGTGTAGACCAGGTTGGCCTGGAGGAAGATCCGCCTGCCTCTGCCTTCCGAGGGCTGGGATTCAATGTGTGCCACTGCTGTCTGGTTTCATCTGGATCATTTGCGGTGTGAAGGCCAACCTTTAAACGGGCCACGCCTTCTGCTGGCAGCCTGTACCAGGACATGGAAAGAAGGAAGCTTTTGCCCTTCACCTGCTTGCTCTCACTTTAGCTAGCAAGTCTATCCCTTCACGGGCATTAAAGTTGACTTCTTTGGGATTCTGATGTTTACTGAAGACGAGATGAGACATCCAGCTTCATGGACTGAACAACTTCTGGTTTCCTGGACCCTCCGTAGACAGCCATCACCGGATTAGCTGGACCACAGCCCATAAGCCATCGTAATAAATTCAGCTCGGGATACACAGTGATTTTGAGGCCAGTGGGGGCAACTTGAGACCCTATCTCAAAAATAAATCCATAGATTACACAGGGAAAAGCAGTACGCACCTTAGGCAGAGGCAGTTGGATTTTGAGTTCCAAGTCAGCCTGTGCTACATTGCAAAATGGCCTCAAAACAAATTTTCCATCATTGTTACAAGAGAGCTGACAAAGACAAGTTGGAAGTAGGATGTACTTCAGCTTATACCATTAGAGGCCTCACGCCATGACTGTACGGCCCTTCCCTGTGAGTCTGCAGCAAGAAGGAACGTGGCCGGGAAGCACGACAGAGCAAAGCTGCTTAGTCCTTGACAGTCAGGCAGCAGAAAGGGGCCATAACACAGCTGACCCACTTCCTCCAACCAGCTCCGACATCCCAACATGCCACTCAGCTGCAAATCTGTGGCTTAACCCATGAGGTTGGCACGCCATGACCCGAAAAGCACCAGCTGCTGGGACCAAGCCACACCCACATCCCAGCATTCTGGGGGACACAACCCATCCAAACCACATTAGCTTTGAGAATGCACAGCCTATATCCCACGAGTCAGATAACTTTCCTTGGAGGCAGATCTGTCAGTCCTCCCCACACAGCTGAAGAGAGCCGGATACTATGTTGTTAATTCTGTTGTCTTTGACCATGTCTTCTTCTTGGCTCTGGTGTTCTTGGGCTCACTATTGAATGAGATGTGTGTGTGTGTGTGTGTGTGTGTGTTGTTTTGGAGACAGGGTTTCTCTGTGTAGCCCTGGCTGTCCTAGAAATCACTTTGTAGACCAGGCTCGCCTTGAATTCAAAGATGAGCCTTCCTGTGCCTCCTGAGGGCTGGGGTTGGAGGCATGCCCCGCTGGCACCACCACCCAGCTTGGGACATATTTTTCAGTGCTGGGCATCAAATCCACAGCTTTGCACATGAACGCGTGCTGTCAGTGAGAGGCAGTCTCAGCTCCACTGTTTGTGTGCACACACCTGTGAAGGCCAGAGGTCACCTTCAGAGTATCTTCAGCCACCTTCCACCTTGCTTAAACCATTTAACATGTTCTGTCTGTGAGTGTCTATGCCTGGCACCGTGGAGGCCAGAAAAGAGGATCTGATGCTCGGCAGCTGGAGTTACAGTTGTGAGCACCACTGGGTGCTGGGAACTGGACCTCGCCCTCTGGAAGAAGGGCTAGTGCTCTTAACTGACTTCACCTTTTATTTTTGACACAGGCCTCTCACTGAACCTGGAACTTGCTTGTCTAGCTGGAGTGCTTGGGCAGCAAACCCCAGGAGCCCCCGTCACCACCTCCCCATTGCTGGGATTACAAGCACAGGCCACCGGGCATCAGATTCCTTGGAGGCAGAGTCACACGTGGTCATGAGCTAACCAGCATGGTTCTAGAAACCCACTTCCGGTCTTCTGCAAGAGCTCCTAGCCAGTGAGCACATTTGCAGCTGAATTCATCTTCATGCCTGCCTGGCAAGCACTTTGCTGCCTGGGCCTCTGAACTGTGAGTTATTTCAAGCAGGTCCATTTTAATTCTCTTGCCCTAGTCCTGGAAGTCTTTGTCACCTGTTTCATTCACTGCACCCCATCTCTGAGGTCTCATCCCATAGCGCAGGCTAGCCTAACCTTGTGATCCCCCATGCTTTACCTCCGACTCGTAGTGGGGTTACAGGCACGAACCACCACGCCTGGCCAGCACCACTCTTGAAAGTTTTCCTTTAGATCTGAAGCCATTTCAAATATGTAAACACACGACTCACTATACTTTCTAAAATGCTAACTAGCACATTCCAAGATCACATCCCAAGACCACAGGAGGTAGGCCACAAACATCAAAGAACAGACACTGCAAGATAAATCCTTATTTTTATTACAGACTAATGATAGCAGTAAGGAGAAAAACAAGAAACCAGAAACCCGAGTAAGTTCTTGGTGACGGGGGTGGGGAGTGGGGGGCACACGCCCATGCAGCCTCTGTATCCCCTGATCCCCCCGAGAATGTATTAGTGTGGCTCCAAGTCTCATTTCCCCAGTGGCCCAACAGGCTGAGGACATGTGCAACATTCCCAAGGTATGGAGGTGAAGGGACACACCCAGGCATGACCTCAGCTGGGAAGAGTGGAGGGGCACAAAAGGCAGGCCAAGGGGTCACGCCAACATCCACAGCACCATCCCTCGAAAACCTGGCCTGTGGGGTCATTTCTTCCCGATGCCTTTATAAGCACCCAAGCTGGGTTTCGAAAGCCAGCCCTGTGAAATGTTTAAGGTGGGCATCGTGAAGGTCGGCCCCACCACTCGAAACAAAGTGAGTAGCAGTCATTAAAACTCTTCCCCAACACTAGGCGCATGGAAGGACGCGCTCACTCCAGGGACAGCTGGCTGTGGCTCCCTCACCTGGAGCGAGAGGGTTACTGGGAGCCTGAGGTAGACGGGACGAATTTCTCTCACCTATGCTAGAGAGGAAGCCTAAGGCCTTCTACTGCTAGGCGCAAGTCCTGCACTGCTCGGCGACACCCGCAGAGGCTCCACCCACCCACCACAGCCACAGGAGCACACCTCTCTACCAGAGATGGCCCGCCCACATGCAGTGGGAGACATGCACTCCACTGCAGTGGGGGACATCTGAACTGGCCTGGGCCTTCCCACAGCCCACTTCCAAGCTCTCCGACTTCCATGCCGGGGATGCCCCTGCTTCCAGGAAACTCTGGAATACGTTCACGTGCACCAGACCCTCTGTGCTTCTCGCTCCCCAAGTATGGGGACGGGAGAAGCAGCCCACTGAGCCCACAGCCAGGGAGTCGGCTGGGGATGTGACTAGAACGGTGCTCAGAGGGAGGAGTCCTAGACTGTGCCGCTGCAACCCAACGTTCAGGTGTCGTGCTGGGAACCACGAGTGCTGTTAAGACACAGTCCCAGGAGGGAATCTGCAGACATCAGGGCTTCATGGTTCCAGAGAGAAACACTGCTCTAGGACTCTGAGGTCCAAGTGGATGAACCATCCCTCCTGCCACATCCGCCACACGCAGACTCCCTGCCGAGTCACCCAGACGCCACCCCTTCTCCTCAGTAGTGCCTGGATCTGCCACCCCACTTTCCCTTGGCCATCTGTTCCAGCCTCACAGCGCCACGGGCCTCAGAGCCAGGAAGGGCAGGTAATAAGTGGTGCCTGGTACACTGGCACTCAGGTACCAGGGGAGAGGAGGGAGTGCTCAGGAAATATGGACGGGGCCCGGGTCTGAAATGAGTGTCTTTATTGCTTGTACCGTACAAATACGAGGAATAAGGAAAGGCCAGTAGGGATGCGGGACAACCGTCAGATAAACACACACACAAAAAGGAAAAAAGAGAGGACCCCACAGCACCCCTGCCCACCCCATCCTACCGCCTTTCTCAAATTAGCCTCGTCTGGGGTGTTGCAGTGGAAGAGTAAACCCAGGAAAACTTCAATTCCAAATACCCAGAGATACGAGGAGGGGAGACATGGCCCCAGCGGAATCAGAGGCTCAGGCTGGGGTTGAGGCCTGAGCCGTTCACATCCATGCTGCATACAGCTGCGGGCACCTGCACCCCAAGAGCCCGAGATGCTCACTGCCAGGGCAGGGGGCTACTGGCATCCACAGCGCCGACAAACTCGCACTCGCACATTCACTTTAAGGCTCCAGAGCAGGGGCCCTGGAGATGAGGTGGCCCCACCCCACAGTGAGAACCAGAGACACCTGTCCCCATCTCTGTCCCCTCTCAGACCCCGGGCAAATCCAAGGGGCCCAATACTGTCTCGGTGTGAGATGTGTAACAGCCAAGGTTGGCTTCCCTCTGCCCCAGGCAGAGAATGGAGCCGTCCAAAGGGGCTAGGGTCCAGCGGGAGGCAAGGCTGGCTAGAAGGAAACCCTGGTAAGGCACGGGGCTGTGGGCAGGAGGGCTGCCCCCAAATGTCCTCCTGCTTTATCCAGAAATCAAGAGAGCAGTTTTGGAAGAAAAGGCAGGTTCAGGAGGCAGCTCCTGGTCCTGGCTGCCCCCACGAAGGTCCAAGGACTTGGCTCCATTTCCCATGAAACCAAGCCCAGATCACTCAGCTTCCAAAGGCCTCTGTCTGCCCCTGGACATCACTGCTTTCCTGCCCCAGGTGGGACGGCAGCAGATAAACTGCCCAGATAACAGCATGGAAGGCAGCTAGGGTGCTGGGGGCAGGGGGCTTCTTCCAGATGTGGCCTCTGCTGGCTTGCTCCCAAATCCAGGTGACCCTCTGGCTCCCCACTTGGCCCTCTTGGAGGCTGGTGATTAATGACCTCACCCTCCATCCTCCCAACAGCCCACCCTTGGGCAGGTCCCAGCACTTATCTGGGCACAGAGGGGAAGCCAGAGGAGAGGGCTGTCAGGACCGCTAAGTTTGGGCAAGAACTGAAGAAACTGGATATGGGATGAGGGGGACAGGGAAGGGAACACAAACCAAAAGGCAAAATAAAGTTTTCTTTAAAAAGCCACCCAGGCAGTGGGTGATGGCCACACTCGTGTCCTGTGGTGGCAGAGCGCTGCTCACTCCCGGATGCTGGCTGAGTAGGAGAACTGGGGGAAGTGCGTCCGCTGGTCCAGCTCCAGCGAGCCCAGGCTGTCATCTGCAGGGTCGGGGGGAGATGCCATGGAGACGAGGGAGCCCACCCTTGCCCCTCTGGGAAAGAGCCCCAGAAAGGCGTGCACAGCAAGACAGCAGCCTGCGCCGGCAGGTGACCCTCGGCACTAGCGAGAAGGCAAACAGCTTGCTTCCGGAGAGAGGCCTTAGCCATGGCCTCCCTCCAGGCTGGGTCTTCTCAATGTCTTTCTCCTTCCCCAGCCCTTACCAGGGTGTAGCTCAAACTCCTCCTGGCCTGTCCCCCACACACTCACCTGCAGCTAAGGGACTGTCAACAGCCCTGGCATACTTCTGTCCCTGCACACAGAACCCTTATACAGGTCCCCATGCCAAAGGTCTCCTCCACTTTCCCAGGTCACCCCAGAACCTCCTACTTTAACCCCATGCCCTCCTGCCTCTCCTAGGCCCCAGCGATCCACCCACAGACTGCCCTTCCTCTAAAAGGTTCGCTCATCGTTGGTACCCACAGGCCACTCCTGCCAGGAATGCATTCTTGGCTGCCACACTGCCATGCCATGTATCTCCTCATGTTCCCTGCACCCTGGGGCTCTGAGGGCTCTGGGTTGTCCCTGAGTGCCCAGTCTTTGAGTGGCTTCAGATCAAGAATACAGTCAATACAATGTTCTAGTCCAAAGATCAGAACTGTCCCTAAACCTCAGAACACACTACAGCCACAGTTCCTGATGACCCTGACAGCAAGAGCAGGCCTCGCAAGCACACCTTAGGGGAAACTTGCCAGACCAAAGAGCCAAGCAAGGTCCTCCTGGCAAGCAGGCCCAGGGCTGACCCCACCTGTCAGCCATCTAGCCAGGCTGGGGACAGTGCGGCCCAGATACTCACAGCGGTCTGGGGGTGTGATTGTGATGGACTGGGCCGTGAACTCGTCATCAAAGTACCTTGTGTCTACTTCGGAAGTGACCTGAGGTTTGAAGGGTGGCAGGAGCTGTGGAGAGGAGGCTGCAGTCAGTGACACCAGGTCATAGGGGGCAGGTGAGGCCCCTGGAGCAGGCAAGAATGCTCACCTTTTTCTGTACCACATCCTGCCAATTGATGCTGAGGAAGAACCTGTGCTCCATGACCTCCTTGGCATCACTGGGACCTCCACCAAGCCTGAGCAGAGACAACCATCACCGACCACCCAGCGCCCAGCACGGCAGGTTCTGGGAGCCAGGCTCAAAGCAAAGGCAGGCATAACCCAGGGCCCAAGGGCGCTGCACAGCCCTTGCTGGTGCTGTCCTGCAGCAAACAGGCTGCTGTGTGGGAGTGCCTCCCATGCGCCCTGGCGCTGCTCAGGGGACCAGCAGGCCACACACCTCTGCTTGGGGTCCTTCTTGAGCAGCCCAGCCAGCAGGGACTTGGCCTCCGGGCCGAGCGTGCGTGGAAAGCGGATCTCCTCCATGAGGATGAGCTCGAACAGGCGCTCGTGGTCCTGGTTGTAGAAGGGCAGGCGGCCACACATCATCTCATACATGACCACGCCCAGCCCCCACCAGTCCACTGCGCGGCCGTAGTCATTGTCCTCCAGCACCTGAGGGCGCAGGAAGCAGTCAGAAGTGGAGAACTAGAGGGCTCCACCCTCAGGGTTCCCCCGCCCCGGCCTTTGTGCTCTGTGATCCCAGCCCCAGACACCTCAGGAGCCAAGTACTCTGGGGTACCACAGAAGGTTTTCATGGTGGCCCCGTCACTGATGCCCTCTTTGCATAAGCCAAAGTCAGTGATCTTGATGTGGCCATCCTTGTCCAGCATAAGATTTTCCAGCTGTTAAAAAAAAAAAAAGCCAAGATGAGGAACGATCTTCCCAGGGTGCCCCTCTGGAACAGTGGTTCTCAACCTGTGACTTGCGACCCCCTTGAGGTCGAATGATCTCTTAGTTAACAGCACCAGAGCCTCATGCCCTCCACCCCCAGACCACTGTGTGGCCTGCTCTGCTACCTAGAGTTTCCCTGGAGTGCCAACACCTTGGCACGGGGCGCCCACTTTCTGGCAGCAGGTACTGTGGGCAGCATGGACAGCGCTGCTCTGCCTGTGTGCACACCTTCCTGGGCAGCACAGGGCCGTTTCTGGTGAGCACAGGGCAAGGGCAGATGGCTGGCACATAGTTTTGGTGTCACCGCCAAAGTCTGTTCTGCACGTTGCCAATCGACACCCCGTCATAGCCTGGGGCGTGCACAGGTCTTCACTGTGGAACTGTCTGCAGGGTGTGCCACGGGCCAGCCTGGAGCTCTTGTGCACCCCCACCCCCACCCCTGACCCTTGACCCCCGAGCCGTCCACTCACCTTGATGTCACGGTACACCACATCCCTTGAGTGCAAATACTCGAGGGCCGACACTATCTCTGCGCCATAGAAGCGCGCCCGGTCCTCGGTGAAGACTCGCTCCCGAGACAGGTGGAAGAAGAGCTGCGGGGGAGGCCGGCCTTAGCACCGGCCCTCGGCCCAGCGCCCCAGAGCACACAGGCTCCGGGGAAGCAAAGAGCAGTCTGGGGCCAGGCTGCGGCTAAATGCTTTGATGCTAATTTCCGACCCCCAAGATCTGGCTGCTGCCCAAACAGACAGACACTCACATACCCCAAGTGATGTTTATAACCTTGCCTAAAAACTTATTTCTGTTTGATGACTAAAGAGCCGACACACCTGGGCAGGTCGAATGCGGTAGATGAAGGTGGCTCAGGTTTGAATGCTTGGAGGACAGAGAGGATCTTGGGGAGGAGACAGGACAGGAAGAGGAGGAAGCCATGAGGGTTAGTGTGGAAAAGGATCCAGGTGGGCTGGGAAGAAGAACTCCCAGAATGGCGTGGAAAGGAGTGAAATCCAAATGAAGCTGAGCAAGAATTTATGGAATTATGGATGGGAGGCAGCCCAATTAGGAATGATTAAAGCAGATGGAACAGGTTGGGGCTGGGAGAGATGAGGCATCGTAGGCGAAATTCTCTGCCCAGCCCAAGGTGCTATAAGGCAATTATAAAATCTAGCAGGTGTCTGCTTCTCATTGAGTCTGACAGCAGGTTAAATAATACCACCCTAATAATTACAGGGCTAATAATAAACATTATTGCACTATGCCGTTTAGTGGCTACAGTGCACAGGAAGAAAACAAGAGACTGAAGGACGTAAGGCAGCATGGCAAGGCTCGCCTGTAATGGCACAGAGACGCTGAAGAAGCAGAGTAGGAATTCAAGGCCAGCCTTGGCTACAGAGTGAGTTACACAAGACTCTTAAAAAATAAAGAGCAAAGGATGAGGCTGGTGTGTAATCCCAGCACTAGGGAGATAGAATCACATATCCAAGGCCAGGCTCAGCTACAGAATGAGGATGAGTTTAAGACCAGCCAAAGCTATCTGAATGAGATTTTGCCTAAAAGTAAATAAGTAAACAAATAAATACATTAATAAGTTATTAACAGGCAGGTAAGCAAGGGCTGAGGAGCCAGAAATGCGCAGTAAGTGCCAATGAGAGGCAGGCGGAGACAGTGGGTGCCAAGCTGGGCCCACAGTGCAGGCAGCCACCGTCAGCAGCCACGCCTATGTACCGGACACAAGGAGCCTGAGCAGTGCAGAGTCAAGTGTGACTGACGCAGTGACAGAGGCAGGGCACAGACCCAGGCCTAGAGTCACGTGCCTGCCCAGGTGACCCTTGCACCGCAGTCTACCCTCGGCCCTGCACCTGGCTCTCAACACTGCCCAACAACACAACTCAACAGCAATGGGATGTCTGAACACCCTCACCGAACCTCCCCCAGCCTGGCCCCGCCTTCCAGGTGGACCTCACACCTCATACCAGCTGCTCCGGGGGACCTGGTGACACTCAATACCTGTCCCTCCCCCGCCACACACACACACACACACACACACACACACACACACACACACACACACACACTCACACACTCACACACACACTCACACACACACACACACACTCACACACTCACACACTCACACACACACACACACACACACACACACACTCACACACACACA